AAAGACAGGTAAAACACTATTATATTTATTTTACAGAGGGGGTAACAGCAAAGTTAAATAATGTACCCTAAATCACAGCAAAACATTTTTAGCTTGATTTTTTTCTTTTGTGTGTGTGTGTGTGTGTGTGTGTTCAGTTCTGTTTTTCTGACAGCACTCACACAAAACTTCTTCTTTTGTTAATCAACATACAGAAACAATTATTAAACTTTTGGTGCCATTTCAGTCAAACTAGATCAAAAATTAAATCCAAATGGAAATATGATCTACTCCTCTTTATTATTACTCCCTCAGCTAAACAACTGTAGACCTCTGATCAACGGACCAAACTTTCCCGTCCCAGGAGAAAGATACTTTCTGCGTCATGGTCCAAAATGTGAGGGAGAGCGAGAAAGGCATTTCCTCGAATCATCAGGAATCATAAAAGATGTCTCATCAAAAGCTGATAAGCAAAAAATGTTTGTTGCTGGCTAAAAGGAAGATGACAGAGCATATCAACTTGCCAACAGATCAGGAATAGACAGTAATGACAAATGGACATAGGGTTAAAACCCCAAAGATGGAGTGTGGCCTTATCAGAGGCAGACCTTATCTACCTTTGACAGGTATCTGAGAGGCCTAGCTCTTTGTCAGTTTGGCAACATTTATACAGCTTGCCATACCAATAAAGCCTCACTGAAAGGTACAGGATCTCTACATTCAATCATAACATCAGAACCTATTTCAATTTCTGCCCAGATGTCATCTTGTCTTTTCATATGCAGATCTGGTGGTCAAAAGTAGCTATCAAATCCATGATTAAGACATACGTGTTATGTCTTATGTTGAGGCCTACTGGTCTATACTTGATTTGCCGCCATCATAAGATCAATATCTGTGTGTGTGTGTTTGAAAAAGAGAGATGGCAAGCATATAGGAAAGGAAAGATCATTTTCCATACCCATTCAGTTTTTATCACCTCTTCTAGGAATGCCTCCAAGAGATACAGATAATATAGATTCTGTCAGTACTAACTTGGGCCAGATTGTTTCTGGTAACTTAGTCTCGTGAAAAGCTCCATAGCTCATTATCAGTCCTCAAAGGCATCCAGTTCCTCAATTTTTAATACATTAAATACAAGCACGTTAGTTTAATATATTTTGTATTCAAAACATACATATTGCTGGAGATTTGAATTCAAGGACATAACCAATTTAAAGGAATTTAATTAGCATGATTGTTCAAAGAACCAGAATAGAAAAACATAACAATTACAGAACATAATTATATAAGCCTCACTCTCTACACATAGGGTCACATATAAAACAATGTCTGCTGTTGTTTCATGATGCTAAAAAAAGTGCTTTTACAATTCCCCGAGCAAACTGATCCAGTACTTCCTCTCGCAGGTCAGACCTGAATACAAACATGCATACATATAGCAGTATGTTTTTCATATCACCTCAGCTGCTACATATAAACCATATTTAACAAATTTGCATCAGATATAACTTATTTTGACATTTATTAATTTGTTTCTGTACTGTATTTGTCCTAGAAGTGCCTTGTATTTCAAACTACCCAAAACTATTATCCTACCAATTCAGAAGAAAGCAATTTCTGCCACTCTCAAATGACACTGCTGTATTTCTCTTCCCTCTTTCTCTTTTTCTGTGGGGACTATACTGATGCTGCTGCTGCTCTATGCATTGCCAGCATTCTGATTATATTATAGCCTTTCACTTTTCTTATAAGTCATTAAAAACAATCCAGTCCTAGTACTGATAGAGTCTTTAGGATAGGAGTACTGTTTAATGACTTATGTGAAATAACTTGAGGAGCTCATCTAGTTCCTCATGGATAGGTTTCCATATAAAAAAACCCACTGTACATTCATACGTAATCCCAGAATTGTAAAGAGTTCAATGCCCTTTTAAAGGAGGATTATTATATAACTCCACTACACAGCTTCAGTATGAAGATAGCGGACACCAGTTCCTGCCTTCTCTTCCTGATTGAAGACAAGGCAAAGACCATTGCAGCAATGATTTCTGGTGAAGAGCAGAAGAGGAGCTGACAAGTGGTGTCACAGAAGACCACATGCTGGGACACTGCAATAGGGAAGAGGATGTTCACCCTGCTGCCTCTTTCTAAGATCCAGATGGGAGAGGACCACCAGAGTCTAAACACTGATTTGTGTTTGGGAGTATCAAGGTGAGGAGGGACAGGCATAAAAATATAGGTACAATCAGTATTTTAAGAATTAAATGCAATATCTTTAAACCTTCAAATGATTAAACAGAAACTCACAGAGGATGCTCAAATAGGAATTTAAGATGAATTGTTAAAGGCCCAATTGACAGATCTAACTCAGCTATGTTTGGGAGAGGAGAGGAAAGGAAAGGCTGAAGGCAGCTGTACACCATTATACCTCAATGATCCTGGAGACACCGGGGGGTTTGGTCCCAGGCACAAATTAGAGCAGCCTAAGAACTGCTCTAACTTGTGACTGGCTGCAACTGCTCCAAACAGGCTGTTCCAGAAACTGGATTGCTGGAGGCCTGTAGCTCTTCAGCAACACCTCGTTTGTCCAGCCATGACCCTACATGCCTTCTACAAGAGATGGAAAGAACTGGTGTAGAGCCAGCTATACCAGCCCAACATCAATCATAGATTCTTCCATTCTTAGGGAATTTTGGGGTAACCAGCTAAGCAAGTTTTCCAGTTGCTCATCCACGACATACACACACACACACACACCAGCTGTACTGGAGTTCAGGATATGGACCTGAATGTTTAATGATGTTTAAAATCAGTCACAGGGACTCACTCCTGGATGCCATTTTAAATTTGGGGGTTTCTGAAGAATGAATCTCAACTACCATTACTGCTGCAAAAAGATTCACAAGTCAAAGTGGTAACAAGGACTGAAGTCAACAGCAGCCAACAAGCCTCCCAGGGCATAGGCGGCGAGTTATATGGGCCCATGCTCCACTAATATTCCTGAAGATGGGCCAACCTCCACCAATGTTTGGGCCCCAGATCCCGTGCTTTGGGGGTCCCCGCGCAATGGGTCGGCAACGTGGGGCACACTCACCTCGGGGGCAGCTCCCCTGTCCCCGGAGCCCCTGCGTGCTGCGGAGAGGCCCCAGCGCTGACCCAGCTCACAGCCCATTGGCCAGGAACCCCAGCCAATGGGAGCTGCAGGGGTGGTGCCAGAGCTGCGGGGCCACACCTCCACAGCAGGGAGGGGGAGGGAGCCACAGGCAGTGGCTCTCAGCCCTGGGCAGAGAGTGAGCAGCAGGAGTCTGTCCCTGTCAGACAGAGACACACAGCCACAGCCGGTGAGCCGGGGGGTTGTGGGGACAGACAGACACACTGACACACCGGGGGGTTGTGGGGGCAGACAGACACAAGGACACAGCTGGGGATTGTGGGGGCAGACAGATAGAGCCGTGGGCGGGGGAAAGGAGCAGCGATGGGCACCCCGGGGCTGGCATAAAATACACAGGACAGAGGGGGCTTCCTGAGGGGACTATAGCAACACCCCCCGCAGAGCAGACCCGGGCTGCAGCTGGCTCCGTCCATCCCTTCCCCCTGCCCCACAGAGACCCACACAACCCTCTGCCCCCCTGAGAGACCCCAATGACCCCGTCACCCCTCTCCAGAGAGCCTCCCCTTTGTGTCAGACAACTCCCCTCCCCCACTGCCTCCCCTGCTCCAAAGCTCCCTACAATCTCCCCCTTTGCCTTCCGCCCAGCCCAGCCCAGCCCATTCCATTGGCCGGGAGGCTCCCAGTCTATTGACCAGCACGGCCAATGGGAGCTGCACCTGAGGCAGGGGGCCTGCTTGCAGATGCAGACCTGCCTGGCCGTGCTTCCACAGCACGGGGAGTGGGAACCACAGGTGAGCAAGCCCCAGTCATCCTCATCACAGGCCTAGCAATTCTCTGGATATTTAATTTCACTGAGGCAAGTAATTCAGTCTACTCTTCCTTTCCAGACAGTTTGTGGCTTTTCCTGTAAGAAAACTTACAATTTCTTTGCCAAGAAGTCCATTTATAGTTTTTTTACTTGAGAAGTACAACATATTTTCTGGTTGTTCATAAGCTCATTTATTTTGTTAACTCAGTTTCATAGGCAATTTTAAAAGTCACTTGAATTGTACCTATTTTTTTCCATTGGTCCAAAAACACATGGAAGATGTGCAGATTTTTATTTCTGTGGGCCAAACCACCCTGTATAGAAATGTAAATGTTGGAGCCAGAAAAGCTCTGCAAGGGGAAGGGTCCCTTCAGGAAATTGTCCTCAAGTCATTCATTCTTCTGGGCATTCCATTCTATTGTTCCCTCCTATAGTGATAGTGATCAGTGTTTCCACCCACAGGGGAGAGGCAGAAGACTGGATCAACCCTGCAGTGACTCTGCCTCTACCATTGTTCTCTGTCTGCTCCCTCTACCAGACCCTTTGGTCTCCCTAGGATTGCCCCTACCATTACTCCCTCTGTGTCTTCTTTCTCTGGAGCTTCTCATGAAGTAAAGTCTGTCATTACAGGTTCTTAGCTCTGTAATGTATTTAATTCTGAGGTATTTATTAAGTGTTAATTAATGCACTACAGGAGTCCCCTTCAGCCCTCTGTATAAACTGATCCTCTTCTTTCCATATGTATTGCCCATACGGTTTTCTGCAGCCCTAGGGCAGCCAGCAATAACCTCTGTGCCTTTGCAGTGGGGTGAGGGAAGGGGACCATGGGTTCCCTATTTATGTGATTTGCAAGAAGTGTTATCATTACTCAAGGTACCAAATGTGTTTAAATGATATAAGTGCCTTGTAAAATCCCAAAGCAAGCTCATTTTCATTTCTCATATAATCTCATATACAGTATACACACATTTTTCATTAATTATATGAGTTGAATTTATTATTATTATTATTATTAGCTAGGTTACTGTTTTTTCTTTTTCAGTGTGGCAAAATGTGTGCTATTTTATGGGTTGAATGATTGAATGACATAATACCCACCTGCCCCCATTGTCCGTCACTAAGTCCAGTAATTTTGTCAAGTGTTCGTCACACAACATGGTGGTGCCTACCCCTACCTTGTGCTTCAGGGGGTCACGGGGTCCAGGGCAGCATGGGGAGTTAGCTGGGGGCCTGGCGCTGGCACCAGCGAGTGACCTGGCCCCAGCCTCCTCGCCGGCTCCCGGCATTGCTCAGGGGCAGGGGCTACGGATAAGAGATGGAGTGGGGGCGGGGTGGGAAGAGGCGGAGCGGAGCAGGGTTGCTCACTGCTGTCGGCGCCAGGCACCCCGCTAAACCCCCGGGCCACCCTGGACCCCACGTCCCCCTGAAGATCAGGGCCCCACAAAGCACAGGGCCTGGGGCAGTTGCTCCGGTACGTCCTATGGATGGGACGGATCCACTTGGGCACCACCAAAAATTATACAAACCAGCCGCCCATGTCCCAGGGTGCCAGAGTCCAGGCTCCAACCCAAGCCCAAATGTTTACACTGCAATTTTAAAGCCCCACAATCCGAGCCCTAGTCAGCTGACACAGGCCAGCTGCGGATGTTTTATTGCAATGTAAACATACCTGAAAAGGTCTGATAGAGGTAGCTGAGAGTATCACAGCGTTAGACTTCAGAATTTACAGTGTGCAGTATTTATATCCTGCTTTTTTGTCATTTACCCCCCGTTTTCTTTTGTTTATTTCCTGTGTCAAATAAACTTTGCTTTATTTACACTAGTTGTAATAAGATTTGCTGGAAGTTCCCAAGGGAAGGAAACCAATTTCTGACATTAAGGAAGTTGGATGCATGAGCACCGGGTCACAAATGATGGAATAGCGGGGTCTACACCAAAAGGGTATTGCAACAAAGCTAAAATAGGTCAGTCTGGGAATACGGAATGTTTGGAAAGTGCAAAGTTTCCACTCCGGTTAATATAAACATATTTCATTAATAAAAAATATAAGGAAATGAGCTAGACAAATCTTAGTAGAGTTTTGCTCAGAAGTCAGACTTCAAGACACAACTTATGGAATCTCCAACCCAGAAATGAAATACCAATACTAGGAAGATGAAAAATTATTTAACTAATTCTTGATGCTTGCTCTTCTAGCAATATCAGCAGCAATTCCTAACTTAATTGGCAGCCTTGGGAATCAGTCCACAGCACGTCAACTACTACTAGCTGAAAACTGGGTCTGTGCTTTCTGTAATATCTTCTGTAACGTAGAATGACACTGAAACCTGCTCACTTTTGTTCAAAATACAACAGCTTTTGAGAATGGGTATATTTGTGATTTGTGATGTAAATCATGAAACAGAAAAATCTTTTAATACTCTGCATTGCAAGCATTTACTTCTGTTAGGAAGTATTTGACATGCATCTGATCGTCTCAGTTACATGTACCCTTCACATTTTGAGTTGAACCTTTTGGATAGGATCCACTCACCATTCCATTAGCTGGAGATATTAAAATGCTAGTCAGTAAGGCAACATAATCTTGTTGAAATTTCGGTAATCTGATTGGTATTATAATGTAACATAAAATGTTTCCTCATTTTGATTTGTCCTCAAATAAAGAAACAGCAGCTCATTTGTCAGAGAGAATGCATTGACTAAGGCAACAAACTTTTAGAGTTGTCATTCACACATTTATAGCAAAACTGTGAAATTACTGATAATCATACAGCTAAGAAAACATGAAGAAAAGAATTTCCAGTTGGCTTCTTAATCTCTAAGTGTCAAGATATCCTAGTGTGAAATACAATAGAATCCCACTATAGGGACTGACAAGGGTAATCCATGTTTTGATCATAACCAAAGGGGGATCACTACAACCAGTCTATCAAACACTGAAGTTCCCAAATGCACACATGCAGTGAAGCAAAAATTTCCATCCTGCAATGAGAGAGCAAGTTCTACTAATTATTTTAATGCCAATCAAGGTAATTAGCTCAAAGTGGTACTCCCACATGCTATGCCACTATTTACATGCAACTGAGTGGCCAACTAAAAGGTGTGTCGTTCTTGCCTATCTTTGAAAGGATCAAAGAACATTTACAACAACAACAACAACAACTTCCAAGCTGATCTTACAATCAAATGCTGACTTATCAGCATAAATCAAATCCATCAGCACCAACTGGAAATGCCTTTTGGAACATAACTTTTTTATCTGTATAATGTAACTGATCACTACACGTCACAATCACTAAAACCAAATTCCATTGTGCGAGCACACATTGTTCCATTCAAAACTTCTTTCATATTTCAGTCAAAGAAAAATAACCATGGAGACAGAAGTCATTGTACTTGAAGGTTCTATAAATATTTTATTCTTACCAGGAGTAGAGAATAGTTCCCACAACTGATGTGAGTTTGCTGTTTTCTTGCTTCTGCTTTGCAAGACCAAAGTCAGCTACAATACAGAAAAAAAAAAAAAGATTTACAAGTAATTAAAATTTTCCTGGGACAGGCATAGCTCCTTAAATTTTGCGTGTTAGGGTGACAATTAATGTACCTTCAAACAGCTGGAAAGTTTTTTCTCTTTTACACTTTGCTGCAATGTACCATACCATCTGCTGATCTTCCACACCTATCTCTCCACTAATTAATGACACACATTTTAATCAGATATACCGGATAAAAAAAATCAGAAAAATATTTCTGGTGACTGCTGATGCAAAATGTAATACCGATTCCCATTTTTCAGATTTCCATCAGTGTCCCATTCAGTTGCTATGAACATGAAATATATGTAAAAATAATCTAATAAAGTATATGAAAAACCACCAGTAGATAAATGCCTAAATGCCTAGAAAAATAAATTAACAATGGAGGCAATTATTTAGCAACTCTTGCTTTATTCTAAACCATAATAAATGATTCAGCAGCAGCTGAAGCACAAAATTTTTCAGAAGCCAATGATGAAGAAACTTTAGTCTTATCACATGACAAAAATTGTTGATTTAATGTTGTCATATGATGTAAGCAGAGTCAGGATGAGCTCTACCCTGACATCTGGTGGTGAATTATGGCGAGTATGGAAAAGAACTCCAGGGGCTGATCTTGTTTGCATAGGCACACCCACTCGCCTGGCATGAAACAACAGCAACTGAAAGTGGTTACTTTGGCTGGTGTGGGATCCCCAGTTTCTCTATTATTGGGGCAGGAAGAATAAAGTTTTGTTACCCTGATTCTGTGAATCAAGGCCAGTGGAACTGTTGTATGACAGAAGGACTGAGTGAGTCCTTCACCATTACCTAAGTAGCACTTGCTTGACAAGGGGCATGGGTTACAAAACCCAGTGAATTGAGAGAGGATGGGGACAGGTATTTGTACCTAATGGTATGGGCCCCCTCTGAGGGTTTGAAACACCAATTGCACCACCTTCTCTCTCCACTGTTGAATGTCAGAGCTAACTTTGATTCCATTAGGAGTCTAGTTACAGGCTGCTGAGCTGAATTCACTTTGGGCCAATGGTGCACCAGCACTGGGGCTCCCCTACTATGAGCTGAAATTGAGAAGAGCTGAAATCACAAAAGAGCCACTGTTATTAAGAGCTGAGATCACTGAGTGCTGTGTTAACTACTGGGGGAGCCTGAAGCTATATTGCTCAGCAGCTGGCGGAGCAATTTGTGGGGACGACTGGAGGAGCAGCGAGCGGTGCGGAGCCTTGCGGGGCCGGTTGGAGTGGCCCAAGGAACGGCGAGCGGAGCTGTTTGCGGGGACGGCTGGAACGGCTCACAGGTCGGTGAGCGGAGCGGAGCGGAGCAGCTGGTAGAGCGGAGCAGTGCGTGGGATGGCAGGAAAGTGGACTGGCTCGTGGTGAAGGCTGCGGCGGAACCCCCACGGAGAAATAGACGGCTGGCTAGCCTCGGATCACGTAAGGTGCCCCTTAACAACCTGCGTGCCCCCCCCC